GTAAAAAGACAGTATAAGTCATTATAATCCATAATCATGTCCCCACTGGATGCAACGAATGCCTCGTTTATAATGGGTTGACAGCCCTATATTCTACACAATGTCTTCTTCACACAAAAGTTGCATTCAGACTTGTTTTTCTGCCCCCTTTAGATTAACAGGATATAATCAGCCCTGATCCTCAGCTTTTTAAAACAATTAGCCAATTGCCGATAGTGCGGTTAATTGCTTTTATCGACCAATACGGTTTATTGGCCGATATATTTGTGAATCCCTATTTATAACCTTTTTGGATCTTTTACATTTTGGTTACCTGGACTTTCTCAGATTTCACAAAAAATTGCTTAAATTGAAAGATTAACTAAAGTTTTATGAGTTTGGAATGACATGAGGGTGAGTAAATGATGACAATTAGCATTTTTGAGTGAACTATCTCTTTAAGTAAGCACTTCTCACTTCAGAAGTCTGGGATTGAATTCATCAAGAGCCTGTGGTGTGTTTGTGTGTGTGTGTGTGTTGGTGTCAGCGTTGGATGTTCTCTCTCAGCGAATATGACCTGTGTACTGACGTCAGCCGAGCCGAATCACAGCACACACTGCGGCACACATCTGTAACCGTATCCCTCGCAGCGCGTGGGGATGGATGTGTGTGGAAGTTTCATCGGGCTAAAAATGTCCCCACTCTCCCGGATCCTGGCACAGTATGCCTGTGTGTGTGCTACACGGCTGAATGACGTTAGTTAATTGAGCTGATGGTAGATGAGCACCACCCCTCACTCGCAGCCTTATAAGGTTCTCTGCAGAGTAAAGCTCCAAATCCCACCTCTGCAGACGCTGTATGCTTACAGCTTATAGCTTACAGTATTGTGAGAGTATGTGTGATGTTACAGTACGCTGTAATGCTGGCTTCTATTACATGTGCTTATTTTAACACATGCATGTGATGCATGCAATATGTTGGAGGCATGGAAGAGGCACACGTCCCAGCTTTGGGAAAGTCAAGTTGTTGATATTATTATCAGTGCTGTAAAGAGACCTGAATATTCCCACAGTCCCGCAGGGTTCCCACAGTCCTGATCATGGAAAACCTTGAAGTGTAAGGGGATGTTGAAGGTGAAGAATGAGATATCTGTGTCATTAGCAGCACCAAATGGAGTTACAGTCTGTTTTAGTAGCCCAGTTGGGCCGGATATAACATGAGCTCAAACAATGGTGTGAGCTTTGGTGTGGGACTACCTGTTTGGAAACAGTCATCATTTTTGTAATGCAGTTTTGTGACACTTGTGGTGGAGAAATTACACACTTTACCTTTTTTAAAAGGTGTTTTCCAGGTACTTTATTTTTTATTTTTTTTATTTAGTAGCCTATTGAAATACACTCAAAAGTTTGGGGTCAGTAAGTTTTTAATGTTCTGAAAGAAGTCTCTTTTGCTCACCAAGTTTGCATTTATTTGATCAAAAACAGTAATATTGTGAAATATTATTACAATTTAAGATAACTTTTTTCTGTTGTAATATATTTTGAAATGCAATTTATTCCGGTAAACAGCATTTATTTGACATAGACATCTTTTGTAACATTATACATGTCTTTACAGTTACTTTTGGTCAATTTAATGTTTCCTCGTTGAATTAAAAGTATCAAAAAAAAGTACTGACTCCAAACTTTTGAACAGTATTGTAGTATATTTTCTATTATATGGAAATGTTTTTTTTATTTTTATTTTTTATTTTAGGTTTCAGTACTGAGTAGGGTCCACCATCTTGGATAAAACATATTAGTAGTCATGGTATTACTTTTGCATTACAATGCATTCTGTGATTTCCATTTGTGTAAATGTCTGACAGATATTTGACTGTTAAAAGGTATATAACTGGACAACCTGGACAAGTCTTGGAACATAGGACATAACATGTGGGGTTCTTTATGTGCAGTTTTGACAATTTTGTTAATCTGTATTGTGATGCAACATACACTGGAATCAAGTTCATACACAAATGGCTAAATAGTTCTGTAGTCTTGTCTTTTTTGACATCATAAAGACGATTTTGTGATTGACACGTCATGCATGCTGTGGTGCACTAATTCCAGGTACAGAGTTTTAGAATCTGAATTCTGGAAATGCAGAATTCTACCAGTAGCTCCTCCCCCTCATTCCGGGATGCTGTGACTTCCGGGAGCGGCATTTTTGGGTGGTGCTCCCTCACTTCTTTTTTTTTTTTTTCCCACGCTACGTGTTTGCACAGTCCGGCAGCTTATAATTTCACCCTCTGCAATTTTCTCCATCTCTCTGGTTTTCTAAGTAAAGAGGAAGGAGGCCCTAAAAATGGCCGCACTATAAAAGCGCTTGACGTCGGGGTTGCTGCGGAGATGTAAGGGGGCTTTCATGTTCTCAGTGCTGCACTATTAGACCTGCGGCTCTCTGCTCAGCTGCTGCACAGTGCTGTATTTATAGCTGAGGTTTGTCTCAAGCCGCTGCCTCTTCAGCTCTGAGCTCAGGCCTGGTCCTTCCCATAGATTTAAACTGGGGCCTAATCGTAACCATGAGCTCTGTGCTGGGGTCTACTTCTCCTCAGCTCCATCACAGGGCCTACTGTCATGATTTCTGTGTGCAATTAAAGTAAGTAATGGAAAAGTATCCCAGGATTGGTTTCAGAGGTTAAGTGAGGAATTGAAGCTGTATTTGTTTTGAATGTAAATAACAAATCAGGTCAGTCGTTCTGTGTTGTAATGGCTAGTTCTCTTTCATGTATGACATCATGACAACTGTGTCCAAAGCAACGGCAGCTTCAGGTAAAAGGTTTGGGAACAAAATCAGACCAGTCTAAACAAATAAGCTCACTCCGATACAGGCAAGGTTATGTATTCCAGGGCAGAGCTGGTGTCAGAATAATGTCTGCTGGATGGAAAGAGGGCAGCGGTTTGTACAGGAATACGTACACAGATACAAACACTTGTAAACTTAGTAAAAGTGAGCATCACAGTTGACCTCATTTACTTTCTGGACTTCTTTCTTTCTGCTGTGATGTATAAATAAAAAGATGAGGGAGTAGAGCATTCAAGATGCAAATGTACCATCAAAGTAGTCTTTACAGCTTGTGCGGCTCACTCTTTTCAGTTGGATCTTTTGAATGAATCTTTTGATTCAGTTCACAAAAAACTGAATGATTCGGTTAACAAATGAAACTGATTCGGTTCTTGAATTCCACTGATTCACTGGTCACTGATTTTAACAGTTCACTGGAGAGTTGTGAATTAATTCATTTTTAGACTATTCCTAACACAAAGCAATCATATGACTTCAGAAGACGTGTAGAAACGTAGCACACACGTCATATGGACTATTTTTATGATACATGTATGGTGTTTTTACGTCTTTCTTGAACCTGGAAAGTGACAGTCCCGCAAGGGATCGATTACATTATTCAAACATCTCTGTTTGCGTTAGGGTTCAAGCCCAAATTTCAGCATCCTTTATCTATTGTCAGTAGTGTAGTGATTTATGAAGAATAACTCATTTTCAAACCAAGCAGCTTTCTGCTGGTCAACATGGCGAATTTGCACGACCAATTGAACATGAGTGAAATCTGTGTGGGGAACTTTTTCACTCCTCATGTTAAACTCCCAGTTGTGCGGAGTCCTAATGGAATGACTGGATTACGGCTGAAAAATTTCACAGAGCAACAGTTAATGGGACCGCCGCACCTTTACACAGGCGTACTACAGGTTTAAAACAACACAAGAATGACTAAATGTCATTTTTTTAAATCAAATATCCAGTTTCACATCACATTAGAAATGCGCATGTCTTTTCATGTTGACTTTAAACCCCGTGTCTGAAGTCATGAGCAATCATAAGCCCAGAATTACAGCACATATGAGTGACGTCTTAATGCCGTCACTTTGTTTTCAGAATTGGTGGTGAACAGGTGTGTGTGCACTAATGCTGACTGTCTACATTCTGATCTTTTAATCCCAGTCAGTGAGAGTGTTATATAATGAAAACAGCTCGTAGTTGTTTGTGTGTGTCTGAGTGGATTAGACGTGTGATTGAACAGGGCAGGAGTGAGGAGCGCCACTTTCGGATGAGGCTCACATACACTTGTGAATGGATAAAGGGAGGCAAACAGAAAGAGAGCAGATTGTCTGCATCAGGTCTTGTGCTCTGTCTCTGTGTTTGTGCCGAGCGATGATGTCATAAAGCTTTTGGCTCCTCTCAGGCTGTTCAAATCTGTGTTGAGTGTTTCCAGGGAAACGATGCTTGTTTATCAACCGTTGGCAAGGTCAGTTACTCCTCAGGCCGAAGGAAGGATCCAAGAAAGAGTGGTGTTTTCAAATAAACGAAGAAAGGGAAGATTTGTTTGTTTTTGTGTGTTAGAGGGCGCTATAGACTAGCGTGTTCCTAAAAAAGCAGATTAACAGTGTGTTTCTACTCTAAATAGTACTTTTAGGGTTTATTTTGTGTTGTCTGTGGCTTTTGATCATCTGACTAACATTCGTTTCTCCTTTTTTTCCACCAGAATGAAGAGTATAAAGCCGCCGCATCTTCAAGCGTCCAGAGTCCAGACTCAAATCTCTCCCCGTTCACCACAAGCCGGACCTCAGAAAACTGGACCTCAATAAACTCACTAACCTCATTTTCCAGAACCACATTATCACCCGGACGCTACCAAAACCATATGGACAAAACAGACCTCATAACATCACATATCCGGACCTCACAAATGCTGGATTCCACTAACCATAAATCTCTCACAAGCGGACTATCACTGTGCTTCAGACATTACCAGACGTTACTGTCCAACTGTTACAGGCTCGGTACAAATCGATTTCTACCATCAGACGTGGTAAAACGGCACTGTTTGAGGTAAAGGCCAATGGTACTGCAGTAGTAGTTGTAGTCTCTCAAGCAATGTTACATTAATATTTATGTAAATGATGGTACTTCACTAGTAGCCAATGTACGACAATTGTTTTGGTACAGGAATTCTTTACGAAGCAGCCATATTGTGTTGGGTTTGTACGACAGTCCCCAACAGTGCTGATTGTACCCGTTTCTGTCAATACTGCCAGATATTTCCATTACATCTGGAATTACACATTGTGATACAGCTCTCAATTAGACACTTTCATACACCCAGTACGGAGAACCTCAAACACCCCGACTTTCACCTCAGGATTTTACGAAAGAGTTTACACAGACACACACACACTGTGTTTCAGCACTGTGAGCCATGACTGACCTCATGCTGCCAAACAAACACTGTGATGTCTGTCAAACCCATGTTTCATTTCATACTTGGTCACATTATATCCCGTGGTGTTTATATTGGCCTCCAAACAGAACTTCACCCCCATTTTATTTTATTATTATTTTTAATATTTTTATTTTAATTTTATTATTAAAACCTCTTTTTAACATGAAAATCAATAAACAATTTTTAATAATTAATGTATATCTCATATAGAGTATATATGGCTTCCAAACAGAACTATGAAACATCTTGGTACTATTCACTTTTTAAATTATTTCATTTCTTTTTTTTTTTTTTACTTCCTATTTTTTTTTTTTTTATTATATATTTAAAACCTTTTTTTATTTGTTTATTGTTTTCATGCTAATTACTAATGATTAAAGCATATCATATATTTTTTGGCTTCCAAACAGAACCCATCCAGAAAAAAAAAAATTTTGGTACAATTTTTTTTTTTTCACTTAATTTTTTTTTCAATGATATATGCACAGGTTTGGTTACCGTAAATCGATTTTTTTTTTTCATTATTACCTGACTACCTGATGAACAATACACAGATTTTGTGAATGATGAGGGGCGGACATTTTTTTTTTATTATTATTATCGTCACAAATGAATAGAGGCCTTACAGCCCTGGTTGGGCTCAATAAAGAGCTTATTCAAGCAATCACATTCATGGGTGTGTAAATCCCATGACTGAACTAACGTTTCTGATCAGATTGTATCACCAGTAGTTGGTCAAACTGAACAAAAACTCGCACAAGAATGTGCCATAAGAGTTCAGTATGATACTTAAACGTCTAAACCTTGTAGTGCAAGTCGATTTTACAGGCAGCAGTGCTGTTGTTGTTTTTTTCATTTTGAGCATTCTGCTGTTAAATGTTGGAAGCCAGTCAAAGTTGCTTGCAACCTTTTTTAGGCTGTTTTATTTCATTACAGTTTTATCTTTTATTTCATAAGGTTTATTTTTGCTTAAAATAACTCTTGCTGGGGCAATGGTAAGCTCACAGCAACAGGTTTAAAAAAAGAAAAAATCCCTCAATGTCTCATGTTTGCTGCTGAAATGAAACAAACAATGAACAATCTGTAAATTATTGAATTTATAGAAATGTTGGTTCTCTTTTAAGAGTTAAAGTATTTAACATTTCATGGTTGGTGTTTCATTATAATTTTTTTGCCTTCAGAATCTCGACATATTTTTAAAATGTGTCCACTGTTCTTATGTTCAATCTTTTTGTGGGGAATATTTGCTTTTTTAGTAAAATGTGTAATCCAACCTTTTTAAGAGAATGGTACAGTTCTGTACAGTTTCCTTAATTTTTTAAAAGATGCTTATTAATGTAACATGGACATCAGGGACTTCCCTTTTTCCCCCACCAACTCCGGATGGAATTGCTTTTGGAAACCTGTTACACTTGCGTTTTCCTGAGCTCTGATTGGCTGTAACAGTGGTGTTCCTGAAACCTGATAGGCTGTTCTAGAGGTTGCCTGTCATTCGATAGGTTGCAGTTGTCGATTTAGCACCCTGTGGTTGTGTTGCAGGGTGTGGGGCATCACTCTTCCCACGATTATGTAGCCAAACTTTCAACATCTCAACCAAACTTGTTCTTTGTAAATAATGTATTGTATAAATAAAAACCGATGATAGGTGGATATTGGACTGACAAGGGCTGTTTGGTTTTATGGATGCTCAAAGCAAGCAGATGATTGGTCTTCTTGAATGAATGAATGAATTGAAACATGTAAACAATATGAGTGTATATACAGATGAATGGATGTATGCACATGTAAACAAATATGTTTGTTTTCAATGAATGAAATGACCAGCAGTAAGGAGAGGGCTGTGTAAACCCCTCCCCGCCCCCTATTTAGAAGAATGGTATCTTCTGGAACCTTGATGTGTAATAAAGTTGAAGCGCTTATCTTTTCTGAACCTGTTGTTTCCTGTGCTCTTTATGACACAATGCATGCAACACTAGAGGCTATATTGTAAACAAGGCTGTTGTTAAAAAAATGGACTGGTGTCTGCAACCCATTCCATCATGATCATATTCAAAATGTAATATGGCTTTGAGTGCCTTATAATATAATTTGATTAAATTACTGTTTACATGTGCGTACACACACACACACACACACACACACATATATATATATATATATATATATACATATGAAGAGTTCATTTGCAAAAACCGATAATTTTCATTTAAATTTTTAAATTTTATTTTCTGAAATCACGTTTTTTTATTGCGCATTCCAAGTAATATCAATCAAACTGCAGTTGGGTTGTTTTGATTAAGTAATAATAACTTAAACAAATACAGGTAATTTACCAAATTAAAGTTCATTTAAAGTAGGCTATGTTTTTTTACATATTAAAAGTGTGTTTTATAGCAAAAGCAGATAACTCCACATTTCGTTTTTTGGCAAAAGCAGATAACTCCACATTTCATGTTTTAGAGTTTAAAAAAACACTCGTTTAATCTTTGTAAGAAACTCCTCTCAGCTAGCACGTCTTTTCAAAGTGAAAGTAGCCTTGTCACCTGACCTGAATACAGCACGCTGATTCGCTAAAATGGACTTGTCGGCTTCTGTTCAAAAACAACAATGGCGCTTGTCGGCTTCTGCAGTAAAATGTGAACTCGCGATGCCTTGAAAGTGGACAAAACCGGCTTTTTTGACAAAACGTGTTTAGGGTTCAGATCGCACTATATGTGGAGAAAGGCTACGTTACGTGCCCCCGGTCCGCGAATTCTGCCGAGGGTTGGGGTGTGCGATATGAAGATTTTTGATCGTGGACGATATGTCTCTACGATCTGCTTTTGAAGAAATATCTTAACCGCATAAACACATTTCATTACACCAAATACACAAAATAATGTTCTTTTTAGCAACATCATATGACCCTTTTAAAGCCTTACTGGTTAAACGTTTCATTCGTGTGCTGTTCTGACAAGCGCTTTTTCTGAGCACTCCCAAAGCACGCGCACAAAAAAGCCCGTCAAACAGTGCCTGATTACTGAACTAAGTTATGTTTTGTGCTAATACTGTCAAAACACACAAGGTTTATGTATAGACTCAGTTAATTATGTTTAAAATGAAAGTAAACACCTGAGAGAAATGGATGCGTGCCTGTATATTAGATGCGTGCAGGTCTTAAACGGACAGTAGTCTACATGCTGCAACTGCAATTAAAGGGATAGTTCACCCGAAAATTTAATTTCTGTCATTATTTATTCACTCACATGTTGTCCCAAACCTATATTAATTTCTGAACACAAAATAAGATATTTTGAAGAATGTGGGTGACCAAACACTTTATGGTCCCCATTGTCTTCCATAGTAATGTTTTTTTTTTCTTCTCCATACTATGGTAGTAATAGTTTGGTTACCCACATTCTTCAAAATATCTTCTTTTGTGTTCAAGAGAAGAAAGAAACTCAGAGGTTTGGAACAATTTGAGGGTGAGTAAATAATGACATCATTTTTATTTTTAGGTGGATTATCCCTTTACAGTAGATACAGAAGTTATGAAACCGTTTACACTAGCACTAAACATCACAAGATATTAAATATAAGACTAAAGCTCTATTGAGCATAAAAGCATGCATGACCCATTTATCTGGCGCCTGATCACATGTAAAGAGACAGTGAAGAATAAAGCTACTCAAGAGGGTGAGAAAATCACACTCTCAGACACTCTGAGACTTGGGAATGTGAACTCTGCTGCTGCTGTCAGAGAGAAAATTATCACCTGATCTCCATACTGTCCCTCAGACCAGAGTAATATCAGCACAGGCGACCAGAACCTCCTTATAGTAGCAATCTGTCTCATATTTATAATTTGGTTAAATAGTAAAAGATTCTTCTACCTATAAGCTAATGCAAAAAAAAAAAAAAA